TTGAAAAATTACATTTGGAGGTCAATATCGAGAAAACTGGCAATTTCTGGAGGTTAGGTCAATTGAATTTTTTCATCAGTTCATTACTATACAACATGCCAAAAATTCAACCATTTTCAGATACTTTTTTTGTCGAAAAAAATTACATTTTCGAGGTCTATATCGGAAAAACTGTCCATTTGTTGAGGTTCGTTCAATGGAATATCTCTTCAGTATATCAAAGTCTGCAACATACCAAAAATTCTGCGATTTTCATCGAGAGCCATTAGCCAGTTCAGTGCAGGGTCCTTTGGGTGAACCAATATTTGGGCAAATCTAAATTTGGATGAAACGAGATTTGGGCCAAACGAGATGTTTCCAAAATGATAATCTTAATTGCTAAGATTTCATTAAGTCACCCAGACGCCGAGACGCGGCTCCGTACGTAACTATACTTGTACGCAATATGCGTGTTAAAGGGATGTAATAATCTATTACAGTACTGCTTTTCAACTGTCTAGTAGTTTATTAGCCTATAGATTGAACAAGGAGTCATACATTCTAGAAGTTATTATTGGTGATGCGATCGAAAATAGAGAAATAATCATTTACCCAATGTGTTTCGACAATAAAGTATCGCTTGTTTGCCTGTGTCGGAACGATTTCCTTTTGTTAAGTGCCAATTAAGTATTTAATTATAGATTGATACCGGGATTGCATAGGAAGAAAAAAAAACGTACGCAGTCTGGGTCAATCGGCAAAAACATTGCCAAGATATTCCTGATCTATCTCAAAAATATTCTGGAATAAACTAAGGCGACAAATTCATTATTACATTACACAGGATCACGTGTGAGTGACGCCTATATCGAAAAAGTTGTCTGTAGGTTAACCGAGGAAGTGGAAAATTCATTTCTCAAAATTTCCTCTCCTATTCTCTATAAATAATAGTTATTTATTATACAAGGGAAAAAGTAGTAGATTTTAGCTCTAGGTTGTGTGAAAAAAGGACAAATCAATACTGAGAAGATATTACATTATTTTGGAATCTGAAAATTATCGAAGTGAAATTTTAAGTTTTTAACAGTAGGGACACCTGCGTTATAGGCGTCTATATTATTCTTTTGAAGTAATCAAATATCTGATGTCACTTCTGTCAGTCTAATTCTGTGATTCAATTCCAAAAAATTGCGAATTTAGTGGTTACGTAACCGCGAAGTCTAATGGAAGTTAAAACGACTTGCAATTCTTTCTCGGAGACGGTATTATTGACTCATTTTTCGGAACTATAGCACAACAAAAGCCATCAACAGTGTATATGTGATATATATCCGGGAAAAAAGTACTCACTTTTTTTTCACGGGAAAAAAGAAACTTATGATAAGTGACATTTTATAACCTGCCAACAGAGATGGAATGCCAAACTTTTTCCCGTCACAGTAAAAAAATATTAGTATTATTTCAATATACTTCAGGACAAATCAGATAACTTGCCCCAAAATTTCACTGTGTGCAAAATTTATACTAACAGAAACCTATGAGAAAAATGCAAACAGAAGTCAGTGACAACTTGCTTGAGAAAGAATTTAGGTATTTTGAAAAATAAAAAATGCTAATCAGTAAGAATGAAAAAACACAGGAACATTTAAAGAACAGGAATATCGACAAATCTACATTCGCTGAAAATATCCTTAATGATATCATAGGAGAACAGCCAAGAAAAAGGAATATTAAAGAACAGCTTTCATTCTTCTGAACCGAGACTGCTTTCTGTTCAGTTGATATACAGGGTATTTCAAAAAAGGTGGCCCGTTACTAGTGTTGGTAGAACACTGCAAAATAGGTTGAATAATCTCTGGTAAAAGTCCATCGTTTCTCAGAGTGGAGGACAGTGATAAATACTGGATAATACTCAAAATCATCTCCACGATAATTTATTATGGCAGTGACATAAGCCTTATGATGCGACAGTAAACGTTTCTTCATTTTCATTAAATTACAGTTTGATTTTCTGTCAAAAAAGTGAAAAGTGGTGAGTTCATTTTCAATACCGCAGCCATTCCCGGTGAAACCGGAAGTGACCGAGACGTGAAAAATATGCGAAACCTTTCCTCTTCACATACCATATACCCATATTGAATTTCATTTTGATGCACCGCATATTCTAGAAGTTATGGCTTGTCCAATAGATTCGATGACACCTGGTATAATTTAGAAAAAAAATTAAAGAACTTCATTCTGTTGTTGATATAGATGTTGATGATTGTTTGGTCCTGTTTGATGGTACTTTTGCGGAAGTACACCTACATGAAGACTATAAGAATTCTTTACATCCTGCTATCCAGTTTACTACATTTACTCATTAGGATCATAAGACACAATAATCGTTTTGCTTTTGCAATATACCGAAAACCAAATATTGAATCAGTTATTCCATTCAATTATTCCCATCCTATTTCACACAAGTTCTGCTTTCAATTCTCTTTTCCATAGATTGTTATGGTTATCCACCACAATCACACCTTCTTGGGGAATTTTTCCAGGAAAAATTACAAAAACACAAACCAAAATTCGTTACCTTTGAATAACCCTCTTAGACGGTTTTTGTCAATCCCAGTTTTAGGTAAGGTTTCATATCAGATTGAGAATATTTCCCACCAGTTCAGTGATGATATAGATCTATTTTTATATGAATGACAGTTTCTGGTTCTTTAGTAAACACCAAAGATAAATACCTTTTTTACATAAATCAGGAGTTAATAAAACGTTCTGCTCAGATAAAAACTCCAATACTCAATATATAGGTCAGAATGGTAGGAGGAATCACACTAGGGTCACAGAACATTTGAACCAATAAAGGTAACACGGCGCACGAATTGTGAGCGTGGTCTGGTCAGTTCTCCTCATTCATCACAATGTTGCCTGATCTCCAACATTTACATGATATTTTGTTATAGAGTATAAGAACTATTTGGACATGCTTATTGCTCAAAAAATTCAAGAATGAACTATATCATGAGTTCACCAAACATCTTCATGATAACTTGATTATAATTGGTGACTTGGCAACCTTGTTTCATGAGTGGGAATGGCAGATTATCTAACCAATAACGAAACAGCATAAAAGGTGAAAAATGGCGGTCATGACGGTACGTTTGAAATGGTCCTTATGAATGCCAATAATTTATTATCAGTCCACATGCCCATTGGTTTCTTGTTATATTTATAGCTTGCTGACTAACCGGCACATTTAAATCATTAATGATTTCTGAGTTTTCTAATAAAGCTCAATGTTGATGGGTTTTCACTTCGGAGATAACTGATAACAGGGCAACTCAACTTTATTTTTTACAAACATTTTCTCGAAAAGGGTTAACATTATCAACTTTCTGAACTGCATCAAAGCTAGTCATCAAGACAATCCTCTGAAAAAAAAAACTCTTGAGAACACACCCAAGTACTTTTATAACTTTTTGATATACTTGAACACTTTCTAAGCTTACAAACAGGATATACTTTACATAAATACGGCACATACAGAAGAAATATTACCTCCATCAGAAAAGTTTGATATTATATACCCAATTGAATTTTGAATCGAAATTTCAATATATCCAGAAGATGTGAACATTTACGCTCACATCTGATGCAAAAATATACATATACTATACAGCATGACACTGAAATAAATAAATGGATATGACCATATACCCGAGCATATAACTGCACTAAAACATTTTTTTTAAATCATTATTTTGGAAACGGTTGTTTATAATGGGAGGATTTGCGAATTGAAGTACCAATTCTATAATATGACAACCTACAATATGTATACCTCCATCTAAACACTAGGAACATGACAAAGAAAAACTTTGTATCATAACTAGAACTTGCCACCAGATGATGTGCTTGGCAAGCCACCAAATGATCTGACTGAGGAATAAAGGCCACATGGAAGACTACAAAGTCTATCCAAGAAATATGCCTCCTAATATGAGAACATGCATTTGATGAATTCCTTGATCCTTGAAAGTATCAAGTACCAATGGCCAAACTAAATTCACTAAAAAATCTTTGACAATCTGACAGTAATTATATTGTTTCATCTGAAATAATTTTTTCAAATGATTTTTTTTTTGACCTCATGGTTCTTCTGAAAAATCATGGCTGAAAATCTGGATTCATTTGCTAACTTTTTATCTCTGAAAGTTTTTTCGAAAACTTGGGCATTTGCCATGTTTTTTTCAAAAGAAAAATCTCATAAAAAAGAAGTTCTAAGGAAAAATATCTTAGGTCCTGAATATTTCAACCCCTTCTAAGCATACATCAGGGTTGAAAACATTCCATGATGTGTAGTTTTATTGACAATTAATGAATTAATATTCATCAAGTGTCTTATCTTCAGCTTAATATACAGGGAAAATAAAGCAGAAAAACCTTTTTTTTTTAAATACCAACCTCAATTTTCATCATAGAATCACACCATGATTTTTTTCATGTTATTTAGATACAACCTGTATAAAAGCTCATAGAGTGTTCTTAGGAATGATATTTTTGTTGGTTCAACTTCAGAACAAAGGGTTTCATGATATACATTGTCCTTTGTTCAATATTTTTAATGAAATATTTCGTTGGGTTCAGTTTGTACATCAATCAAAATGAACAATAACAACTTCATCAATTTTTGTTTGGCAGGGAATGAGAAATGTCAAATAACAACATAATCTTGTTGTCTTTCTCCCAACCATGAACCACTTTTCCAACACCTAATATCACTAAGGAGAAAGTTTTCCATTTTCCTTCATCAATTGACCAATATAGATTTAGTGAGTCAATATCCTGAAGAGAAGGAAAAGAAACAAGTACAAAATATTTCATTTCCAACTCTTTGAATTTGAACCCCTAAGTAGGCTCTTTTGGTGTTCTTGGCACAATCAGAAATAGACTCTTGTTTGAAAAGATTAATTGAGATAAGATAATGATCTGATTTATACATGAAACATAAGCATACATATACATACCTTTCCTTGCATTATTAGTCTGATAGTTATTTTGACTTTTGAGTCATCATTCAACATTTGGTTTTGGTCCATGTCCATTAGAATTTAGGGATCAGGGCAGAGGGGAAGGTGTGGGTTCAAATCTGAAAAGAAAAATTAACATTAACTTCGAAAGAAAACATGCTTTAGATGAATAATAAATATTGTGTCAAGGTGGCGTTCTTAAATTCTTTCTAGAGTTTCTTATTTCTTGGATTTTCTATTCCAGGGTTCTGAATTCTAGGTTGGCATTGCACAAAAAATATTTTCAGAAAAAGAATGCAATTTGCCTGTGGCCATGTGATTTGTCAATTTTATGTAGTCATTAGTATATAAATCATATGATGTTGAAACAACTGTAAAGATATAAAAAATGATTATTTTTCTTTCTACAATTTGTGAAGTATCACAATATATTAGATGTTTACCTCAACAAAGGCAATTATTTAATTACCTACCATAGATATAAAGCCAGAGAAATTATAGGAAGCAACATCACCTCAACCAATGCTAGATAGAGTAATTCTATTTAAAAAGGAAAACAAACAATTATTTCTATCCTTACAGATTCTGAACAGTTTGCAATTCACACACCTGATGACTAAACCAAATTGAGAATAAAGATATACATATTTTTGTAATTACCTAGCTAGAATTCAAAAACCAATAAGTATGCTTTGATAGTGATCATCTACCTCAGAATCTTGATTACTTCATCATAAGTAATATCATGATGTTGTGACTATTCCAAATGGTTCTGTTACTTCATTGTTCATGAAATTGTGTTGCTGAGCAACACCAAGAGTCTATCAGGATGAGTGGTATTGATGTATGGCAACACAATTGAGTTAACAATAAAAGACAGAATTATGAGAAGATATTCAGAACAGAGTGGTATTTTGTTAGAATATTTCATCATAAAAAGCATTCATATGAGTGATTCATTCTGACAAGACAGCCATAAATATTTTATGCCAAACTGACACACTTTGCTCTGCTGTCCATGGTTACATCCAGACTTTGATTTGCCAATTAGAATTGAATCATGTTTTCAAGATAGGCACATGTTGTATCAGGTTTGTGATTGGTCAGATTAATGTGATGAGTGAAATAGTCAGTCAGATTTCATTTGTTATAGGCATGGGGCATAGTGGGTAGTCCAAAAGGTAAACACACTTTTGCACCTATCAGAGTTTCTAAGGTAGGTATTCAACAACCTATGTTTGGAAGATAGAACAATAAATAAAAACTAGTAAACAGATAAATAATAGAAATATGGGGGCCTAAAAGATCATAGCAATGATAGCAGGAACAAATTCATATCTGAGTTATTAACAACAGAACAGGGGCAATGATTGCCTTGATTAAAATGGAGCGCAGGGACAAAGGGTCGAGATCGAGAATCGTTGGAGAGATAATAATACACACACACACACATTTTTCAGCGTCCAGATTAATTAATTACAACTAAAAATAGAATAGCAAACCATCTCAATCCTGGAAGCTATGAATGATGATCGGATTAAATAGCTGGATATTTTCCACAATACAAAAAATCTGCAGAATTCCTGCGATATTCGAGAGGTTGAAGCGTACATAGAACATAACCGCTATTCGGCGGCTTGGCTAGAGCGTATTTGTAAAATCAATGGAAATCGTGCACAGTCGCAGACACAAACTCTAATTTACATCATGTAAAGCTACGTAAAGAGAATAAATTGAATAGGAACTTACAGGGAACCCAGTATATAACAAAAATAAAATATTTCCAAGAGCACTTAAAAAATTGTGACCTTTTCAGTTTTCACTACACGTGCGTCAAGTTCAGATGACAACGCTACCAACATGATGAAAATAGACAACAAAAAAGAACTAGCGTCTGCAGAGAGAGCGCAAGAAATAAAGCGCGTGGTGGGGGACCGTATATGGCCACAGTAGAGCGTGTCGACGCACGGACGGACTGAATCCCTTCAAATAAACAACAATTTTAGAGCATCCGGATGCCGGTTGTGCTTGTGGTTGTAGTTGTGACTTGTGGCCCATGTGACCCATGAAAGGGTCGACCTTTTCTCATTTTGTTCTCAAGTGATTTCCCGACAAATACACTTTTTAGGAAAGAGGTTCTTTCAGGCCGAATTGAGTTAGGTTGCTTAAAAAAAGTGGTATCATTTTCCATGTAAAAACGACAATTTCCTTCCTCAAGAAGAAGAGGTTCATTTAGGCCGAGATAGCTGAAATTGTTTAGTAGAAGTTGTCTCATTTGATGCGACAACGCGATGCGACATTCTTCCACCAACCGCCTTATTACTTGCGTTCTCTCTGAAGTTGCTAGTCAAAAAAGACAATTGACAAATACAATGCGCCAATGAACTGAATGTAAACAACCACAAGCTCACAACGTTGCCAACTTCGCATGAATTCTTGCCCAAACCCAAATCAGTCCATCCATAGTCTGATTTACATACCAATCAGGACGATATCGGCGTTAGCGGTATATTCGAATCGCGAACGTTGGCGAAAAATATGAATCACTGACTGGCATTAAGACATTAGCAGGATAGTTCTGTTTTTTCTTCTGTGATTACTCAATATATAGCTAAAAAAGGCGCCCTTGTGTTGTTCGAGTCCTACTACCCAGTACTACCACCTACTATAATACTATAATATGTTCTAATTTCTTCAGTGGGATTATTTGAGATAGTTTCTGTGGAGGCTTATTTAATGTTGGGTCTACTGTCAGAATATAACTGCTACTATCTAGACCGCTCCAATACGTTTAATTCGTTTATGCATATCCCAACAAACCGAAAATATCGCATCGAATTATAGTCCTAAATGCACACGATCACATAGATGAGTATTCTCTATTCTGTGACATGATATGGACATGATTCATGTTCTTCAGTTTGACCTCGTGAGTGAGCCAGTAGTGTCTGGGGATAGTATATTTGCCATAAATTTTAGAATTATGGGAAGTCCAGCGTTGCTAGTTATCGCTTCTTCGTTCGAATCCGGATACTAGCACCTAGAGATAGCAGGTATCAAATAAAATCAGCGAGGCAAGTGCGGGTAGAGCGACTAAATTATTTCCTCATTCTACCCTATACCACAGTTACTACGACTCGTGGCGTAGTAGACTGTGGATTGTGCGTTTTAATCCCACGTTGGCGCTCTGCGGGTTCAGTGCCTGCAACGGTTGCCTTTTTTTGATTCTGTTTCCTCAAGTGATTTTTCGAAATAGATAATTTTTAGGAAGAGGGTTCATTTAGGCCGATTATGGTTATATAGTTCAAGGAAAGTAAAGTGTCCTTTTTGAAGCAGGAGGAATATTTTGCTTCCTTCCTGAAAAAATTATTGTCTTTTTAGGTAGCATATCAGGTTCATTTAGGCCGAGTAAGGTTAGGTGTTTTAACAAAAATATTGTCCTTTTTCATGCAGGAGGGATATTTTCCTTCCTCCCTGGAAAAAAGTACTCTGAAGGCATTTACTGGTTGAGAAAGAGTTTTGGCAAACTTCCATGTGAATTTATGAAAATGCTATTTTCTTCATTTTGGGTTCTCCTATCAGTTCAAGATCATTGAAGTCCTTTTTTTCCTAAGTTAAAGAAAATCAGCACAATTCGGCAACATTGATATGACAGACACGGGACGCGAAGTCCCCACCACTATTCTATTTTATGACGCAGACTCCGCAGACGCAAGTGGCGTGCATAGCCTATTATAAGGGCATGCGGTAATTTCACGATCGAACGTACGCGAAGCGCTCTTTCAAAGACCACCTATTGACTTTCTAATAAATTCTAATTCACCATCATATTAACTGGACTCATTATGATTGGTCGTGGGCGCAAGTTATGGCAAGACGAATCCGTGCTATGCAACAATTAAAACACACAGTATTTCAACAAACACGACTTTCGGCACGAATTCATTTTATGACCAATCAGAATGATTCTAGTCTCGGTGGTCAATTCGAATCTGTAATTACCTAGTGCTTCTCCCTTCATTTCATTTCAGAGTATAAAATCATCGTGTCTTCATTGAAATAGCGAATAATTATATTGTCATCCGAATTGCAGTATTTTTTCAAATAATTTATTTATTAAAATGACAAGATAAGAAAATTTGCAGTTGTAGGTATATAATGACAGAATTTGGATGTGTTTTTAAAAAGCGAGTCAAATACCGTTTTAGAAATATCGATATATGTGCATGTTGGCACAAGTGCATGAATATCAATCCTGAACTTTCTTCAATGCCTATCCATTATAGTAACGAATGTAGAATATGAACGCAACGTGGGTTCAGAAAATTCTTAAAAAACACAAGTACCACGATTTCAAGTATAAAATCGTTCAAAAACTCCACCATGGAGATTCCGAGCGTAGGCTTACATTTTTGCAATTGGTACCAAGAAATGTTGAACGACCTATCCCAGTAAACATGAGACATTTATGAAATATTTCAAGATTACCTAAAATGTTAATGATCGAAACATTTTTTAGGAACATTCCAGAGATATTGCAAAATCACTGTAACATTCCTGAAATATTTCGAAACAACTATGATTGATATATTCCGAAACATTTCGAAATTACTTGTGAAGTAAATGAATGAAACATTCCAAGATAACTTTGATTGAGAATAATTGAAACATATCATTTACTACCTATTCAGGAATGTTTCAATGCGTTCGAAATATGTTTGAAACGTTTCAAGGTACCTCAAACTAATGATATTTTGAAACATTCCAAATATACTTTCATTGCGAATTACTTCAATGTTTCAAGACAACGAAATGAAACATATCATTTACTACCTGTTCAGGAATGTTTCAATGCGTTCGAAATATGTTTGAAACGTTTCAAGGTACCTCAAACTATTGAGATTTTGAAACATTTCGAATATACTCTCATTGCAAATTACTTCAATGTTTCAAGACAACTTGAATTGCTTGATTGAGGAACATTTCAAAATCACCTGAATTTTAAATGATTGGAATATTTCAATATGACTCTCATTCTGAATGATGGAAACATTTTTCACGAACATTCCAGGGATGTTGCAAAATCACTGTAATATTCCTGAAATATTTCAAAACTACTATAATTGATATATTCCAAAACATTTCGAAATTACTTGAGAAGTGAATGAATGTAACATTTAAAAAAAAATTGGTAGTGAATAATTGAAACATATCATTTACTACTTATTCAGGAATGTTTCAATGCGTTCGAAATATGTATGAAACGTTTCAAGGTACCTCAAACTATTGGGATTTTGAAACATTTCAAATATACTCTCATTGCGAATTACTTCAATGTTTCAAGACAACTTGAATTGCTTGATTGAGGAACATTTCAAAATCCCCTGAATTCTGAATGATTGGAACATTTCAATATGTCTCTCATTCTGAATGATGGAAACATTTTCCAAAATCTTTGTACCATTTCTGAAACATTTCAAGACAACTTCAACTGATATATTCCGAAACATTTCAAAATTTCTTGGATAATTAATAAATGAAACGTTTCAAAATTTCTTCAATTGTGAATAATTGAAACATATCATTTTCTACTTATTCAGGAATGTTCCAATGCGGTCGGAACATTTCAAGGTTCATCAAACTATAGAAATTTTGAAACATTCCAAATATACTCTTATTGCGAATTACTGCAATATCAAAAGACAACCGAAATTGGTTGATTAAGGAACATTTCAAAATCACCTGAATTTCAAATGATTGGAACATTTCGATATTACTCTCATTCTGAATAATGGAAACATTCATCAGAAACATTCCAGGGATATTTCAATATCATTGCAACATTTCTGAAAAATTTCAAAACAACTTTAATTGAAATATTCCGAAACATTCCGAAATTACTTGAATGATTAATTAATGAAACGTTTCAAAATCACTTCAATTGAAACATATCATTCAATAGTGATTCAGGAATGTTCCAATGCGTTAGGAATATGTTTGAAAAATTCCAAGGCTCCTCAAATTATTGACATTTTGACACATTTATTAGGAATTACTTACCTACTACAATTCTCCAAGACATGCAACTTGAATTGGTTAATTTAAGAATATTTCAAAATAACCCGAATTTTAATAAATTAATTAGATTATTTCACAACTATTACATGGTCTATTTTGACCAAGCATTTTATCATATTATGATGCAATTCAGCATTTCCCTTCTACAGCTGCCGCTTTCGTGGCTTCGGTAATCGATCGCGGGTTCCCGTCTTCGGCTCTAAGCGTTCGCGCACGCGCATTCAGTTTCCTTCTCCTTGGTGAAAGGCTTCGCAGTTTTCGCTTTCCGACTGTTGTCTCAAGCCAAGCAGAGCAAAAGACATCTTGATACATACGTAGTTGTATTGAATTCAAGTAATTGTAAATTATTCTTTAATGACAATCTAATCAATTCGTAACATGACATTCCATGACATGCATCTACCAAGTGTATATCAACATGGAACCTAACATTTCCCCCCTAAAAAAAATAAATTACAAATTCAAGCGTTTCGGAACGGTTCGTATTCTAGTTGATCTTCTAACAGGTGACTTCCGAGCCATAGCCGATCTGGATTCAGAAGTACTTTCTTCTAAGTCTGCCTGCTTATCTTCACCGGGCGAACGATTTGGTGACATCGAGTCTCTACGAGAATTTAATATTGATGGGACCAGATTTTGATTGGGAGCAGTTTGTGAATGTGAAATCATACACGGTGATGGAGTACGACTCCTTAACAACAACTGTGGATTGGGTTTCGTGATGATGCGTTTATCAGATGAGGGTGGCAAACCATGTAATT